ATTTCTGTTTGGAGCAGGGAGGGACAGCTGTCTCTGGACTCTGCCCAAGAAAGGCACGAGGAACAAGCATTTGCCTTCAGCAGAGTCCAGCTGTCCAAGGTGTGTGTGACACTGGAGCAGCCCCACTACCTCCACAAGCGAGAGAAAAGGAGGTGTCTGGGGACCTTCCTGAGGTGACAGGACCTCAGGAAGGTCCACCCTGTGCAGCTGCTCCCATCCCTGGAGCAGTTCTGCTCTCACCAACTCACTTCCCTGCTCCAGAGCACAGCTCTGCCAGAGCAGTGCCTGCCTTGCACACAGCCTTCCACTCCTTCCTGAAATGTTTTGATGTTGCAGACATGAGACAATTTTCCTGACAAGTACGTGCCACACACTCAGAAGGGCTGGAAGCTCTGGACTTCCCAGCATGTTGTGAGCAACAGAAAGCAATACAGAAGGATCATCTCCTTGTGCTGCCACAACTTTCTGTCTGTGTCCCTGGCACTGATGCAGTGATCAAATCCACATCTTCCTGTAGCTGTCTCATATGAACACACAGCAGCCCAAAGCTGAGCTTTCTTCAGTAGAAACTTCTGTGGAGCTGGAAAGCATTTGCACTGCAGAGCTGAGGGATCTTCCTCAGCTGCAGGGCCATGAGGTGGGAGAAGTTCCAATGAGCCTGTCTGAGGGAACACCGAATGTGCTCCTGGGAAGCTGAGCACAGGAATTTTAAGGTCCAGAGAACTTCTCCCTTGACTGTTTGCTGCTGGACCCCTCCCCACTCAGGTTAGGACTGTGTTCAAGGGGCAGGTGCACACACACACACACACACACACACGAGCAGGCATGACACTAACATGTCTGACCACACAGACTCACCAGAGACAGCTGTGCCTTTACCAACACCCACAGAAACATCATCACCCTCAGCAGCAAACTCTCTCCTCTTCCTGCTGTGCCTGAGCAGGTCTGCAGATCACTGCTGAAACACACACACCCTGTCCCACTGGAGATGCACAGGCACATCCCATGGATGGTCCCTGAGGTATTTTCATGGGCTCTGTTAGCCATACCAAGACCTCAAGGCTCTTACCCACCCTCCAGCTCAGTCTTTTCAGATGTATTTCCTTCCACCCTCTGGCTGCTTCAGTTTGAATTTCCCTGGCAAGTTACAGTTACACATAGACATGCACACATACAGGATTAGATTAATTAATTAAGGATTGAATAGAGAAAACCACAGGTAAACTTTGGACTGGTAGTACCCAGTCCTGCAGACCCCTGTGACCCATCAGCCCTTCTCAGGAAGGCCAGCAGAGACACAGCTGAGCCCATGCAGAGCCAGTCTGGATAGGAGGGAGTGTGTTTGCAAGAGCTTGCATAGATGGTGTTTCTGCCTCACCCTTTGCAAGACACAGAAGAAGCTGGTACCAAGTGCTTTGCTTATGGATCTTTAGGTGGTTGGTGAGTCCTCTCTCCTCAGCCTCCAGCAACTGAGCTCCACAGAGCTTCTCAGGCACTGTTCACAGCCCCTGCTCCGGCGTGGAAGTGGAGAATTCAAGCCAGGTCATGTCTCTTCTATATGTGAGTGAAGTGAAGGAGAGATGACTCCTTGGCTTTCCTCTCTCTCAGAATCACAGCCAGAAATCCGTGAAGGCAGGACTCTCAGAGGGATGAATCCGAGACACTCTTCTTGTTGCTGCTCTAAACAGCCTTTTCTGTATTCTCTGAAGACTCTCCAGGAGCCTGGGTAAGAGGAGAAGATGCATCTGGAAAAGGACAGCACAGCAGGATAAACTCTGCCAAGTCTAAAATTAAACTTAAGAGGGCTTAAGAGATCAGTTATACAAGATACCCAAAAATAACTTAGAATAAATCCTAAGAGGAATAGTGAAAGCACTGCTGACTTCTTCAGTTCTCAGTAAGATGCATGTCTGCATGGGGAAGTATGGATGTGGTCTATAAATACCACCAGTGGTTACCATTGAATAGGGAGGAGGGGTTTCCAGTGCTCCAACAACAGGAACAACAAAGGGAAGTGTCAGGAGCTGCTTGTGCAGTTCCTTCCAATGACCTTCAGCAGTAAGACAGGCACAATCCAGACATCACTTGCTGGAAGTGAAGTGACATCCTCCCAAGCTTCCCTGTCTCCAGTTGATTCTCAGTCTTTGTGCTATGGCTCCAAAAGGACTTTTTCTGGATGCTCCAGCATTTTCTCTCCATATTATTTAAACTAGAGGCCTCACCACAGCCATCTCTCCTGGGAGAGATGGTGTTCTGGACAAGCTGATTAGAGGGAGGATGAGGATGCACATTCCTCCCAATAGCCTGTGACCACTCTCCTCCTGTCCTGCAGTCAAGGCACCTGCAGCCAAACACTCTCATACCATCAGCTTGCTCAGTACCCACATGTCAGAAAGGCTCTGTCCCTTGCCATGTATCTGAAAGGCACCACGTCCCTCCATGCTCTTTCTTCTCCTTCTGTTGCTCAGAACATACTGGGAAGTCCAGAACTTCCAGCCCTTCCAAGTGTGTGGCACGTACTTGTCAGGAAAATTGCCTCGTGTCTGCAACATCAAAACATTTCAGCTCTCAGAACAGCCTGTGCAGTTCCTGTAGTAGCAAATGCCATTTTCCTTTGCCTATGTTGGGATAACATGCTGGACAGTCAGGTATTTGTTAAAATTTTCAAGTAATGTGACTTTGGATTCACTGCAATCACAGGTGAGAGATGATCAATGCTAGCCAGTTAGCTTGAAGTCGGGTTAGAATAAAATTTTCTTAAGAATAACAGCTTACATCTAGGGGGGAAAAAATGGAGAAGAAGAAAAAGAAAAAAACCCAACCACAGCACAAAACCAGACCCAAACCACAGATCCATATGGCTAGAATGAAAAATCCTGCTTAATCTGCTTGTATCAAGTCCAAATCTGAAGGTCACTCTCCCTGTATTCCCTTGATTTTATGTCAATGCACTCCTGAAACACCTCATGCCCTAAAACTCTGAGGCTCTGGGTGAGCATGTTTCTTACTTACAGCAGTCTCTTTTATAATCCAACTATTTCTGTGGATTTCTTGGTCAGAGGCCTAAAGTACAGCACGTGTGAAAAGAAACTGGGGAGGAGCTGGGCTTGTTCACATCCCTAAAAATAGAGAAAGAATGACTACAAAGGTGCCAGAGCAGCCGGAGGAGTCCAGATTGGGTGTAAGGAACCACTTCTCCAGGAGGGTGGTGCACTCTGGGACCAGAGCAGGGGACAAACTCCATGCTTGGAGTCCCTAAATGATGGGTATCACCATCCTGGAAAGAGTTCAGGATTTGACTGGAAAAGTCAGGCTACCCTGAGCAGGTGTTAGTGATAGTCCTGCTTGGAACAGGAGGCTGGACAGGAGACCTGCAGGCTCCTGCCAACACAGCCCTTCTGGGCTGGTGTGATTTCTGTGATCCATCAGTTGTCTTTCTGTCTGTCTGCCCCAAAACTTCATAACTTTTCCATCTGACATTCCTTCTGCTCAGTTAGAGCCTGCCCTACCAACCTCTTTAGACAGAGAGATAGATGATGCTTTGGTAGGTTAAGTGTAACTCCCTTTTCTTGACTGTCCCCTGGGCAGTGTTTGGATTCACAAACCAGAAATCCTTGCCCTGCCATGGAGTTACCAAAATGCTCATTTCCATGTCAAGTGAACCTTTTCTTTTACAGCAACTTGTACATAGACTACAGACTATGTGCACAACACTTCTCAGTGTATTTAGCATAGGTTTAAAACCGCAAAAATAAATTAAAAGCAGTAATAATAGCATTATAATAATAGATTGTTATGGCAGCACAGCCATCATTTGAATGGTTATGTTTATCTCAATCCTACCAAAAAAGATAACAGAAAAAGTGACATTTTACATTGGTTTGTACATATACTTGTATTAAAACTAAGAAAAAATTACACACTGACCTGGCCATCGCTGTGGCATTTCACTGTTTATTCTTTTTTAATGGCTCACATTTCCTAATTCAGTCCTTTGACTCTGCAATTAAAAATGAGTAAAGGTAATAAACAAACCCCTAGTCCTATAGCTGCCTTTGCTTCAATTAAAGTCTGAAAGGGCAAAAGGGGTTCTCCTTGAGACCCCTGGCAGACCTGCTGAGCTCTGACTCCTCGAATTGGGTGAGCTGTTTGGCACCTTGGAATATATCACATCAAAGGAAACACATGCCCTTGGTGGATGGATGCACCTGGGGCAGAGGAATTATTTTATGAGCTTTGACTGCCTGAAGAAATAAAAAGAAGGTCCAAGCATCTACCCTTAGGATGTATTTCATGTTCAGAAGCAAAAGGCTTCTCTGCAAAAATAGAGGTGGAGTCCTAAGCAGAGAGAGTTTAATTTGCAGTAATAAGTGGATGCAGCAGCCACGAAGCAGGGGGAGTGGCACAGGTTGTGATGCTCAGAGCAAGGCATTTGCCTGCTTTATAATTTTTTTTTTTAAATGCTATGTGATTGCTTAACTCCTCTGTGCTTCAGGTTTTGTCTGACCTAGTCACATGTGCTATCTGTGTTTGGAAACCTCTGTGCCTCACACCTGGTGGGGCACAGGCATTGCCCAGTGATGGGAAGAAGGAGGCCAAAAGTGTCAGTGAAAGAGGTCTTTGCCCTCCCAGTGCAGGAGAAACCTCTGTGGTGTCTTTCCCTGTGTCACTCCATCCCGAGGGCAGCACTGCTCCTGGCCTTGGGAGAGAGCATCACTGACCCAGCAGGGACTCAGGCAGCAGAGAAGGTTTTTCTTCACGACCTGCATCCCACAGTCCTGCTGAAGGGACTGTAAATCCTAAGGGAGGGTCCAGCCCTGTGAGCTGAGTGGGTTTGGTCAGGATGGAGGCACAGGTGAATGTCTGCCCTCAGTGTGAGACAGCCCTGTGGTCCTGTAGAGATTGGGATGGGAGAAATGGCAGGAAGGCAGCCCAGAGAGGGGGCAGAGCGACCCCAGTGAACTTCTGTGTCCTAAACCAATCCTTTTCTTTTAAAGGTGAGAAGTGTCGAAGTTTTATTGACCTTGCCCCGGCTTCTGAAAAAGGTAAGACAATACAGCCAACTGTCTGCTCAGGCCATGAAGATATTTATGGTCAGAAGAATGCAGCCACACAGTACCAAATGTCTCTTTGTGAGAGGGAATCATCTAGATGCTTGTTTGTTTGCTTTACCCTTTTAAAAAATTATATATTCAAGTGCACGGAGGCAGGCTGCAAACATTTTTCCTTGCCCTGCTATTAGAGTTTAACTAATTAATTATTGAAAATTATTTAATTCTCAAAAGCAATTTAACCCATATTTAAAAATATTATCTATAAGGAAAAAAAAAGAAGTGTAGAATTGCATTAAACTGGGTGGCTGAGCCCGTCCTGCTGCCAGCTCCAGACAGAGCAGAGCACTCTGCCCACAGACCAAGAAAGAGGTGCCCAATATGTTTTGTGAGATCACTTGAGACAATCCCAAAACCTTCTGGGCACGAGGTGCCTTCATCAGGTGTGGTGGAGCAGCAGTAAGTGGCGTAAGGAACAATTGTTCTGAGTTTGTCTGAATTGCTGATCCGCTGGAAAACGGAGAGAAAGGCAATTACCATTAATAAAGCAGAGGGTATAGCAGTGAGAGGAACAGTCACAGAGAGCCTCTGTGAAATCCATTGTAAGCAAACCCAAATAAATTATGCACATAAGGGAAGAACAAGCCTGGGATTACTGCTGCTAATGGGCTCCGAGTTAAATCTCACACACACAAATGGGACCTTGGGGCATAACTGCTCTTATGAAACCAGCAGCTCAATACCCAGCAGCAATCAAAAAACAAACTGTCTGCTAGAAAGCATTAGAAAAGGACTTGAGAGCAGAGCAGAGAGCATGAGGGCTGCACACATCTGAAAGCTTCACCTTTGTGTAAAATGCAGTGGGGGATTTTGTCCTTTTTAGTGCAGCTGACAGAACAACAACAAGGATAGCAAAGTTCTGGAGAGTTCTGTAAAAGGACAAGAGTGCCATCCTGCAGCCTGAAGGAGAGACCTGGGAGAGGAGATCTAATGGACAGTGATGAGGATGTAAGAGGAGCTGAAGAGGCAGCCTGGGTGTTAAGATCCAATTCCTGAGTGGTTTCCCAGCCCAGGGACTGCTGGGCACAGCATGGCACCTTCAGGAGACAGAGCAAGCACAAGGTGTCTGCTACAAAGGCAGTGGAGTGGTTTTCTGCTTTCTCCATTTTCTGTAGGACTTCATTATGGTGCATAGTGCTTGGTTCCAGCACCCACACGCTTTCCAAAACAGCATTTAGTGCTTTACTTTTAGTATTTCTTTTGGTTGTGTGAAATGCTGTCAGCATTTTTTTTTTTTTTTCCAGGAGAATTTTAGAGTTGCTGCATGATGTCAGTGCATATTTCTAGACAATTCTGTTTTTCTTTTTTGAGGAAGGAAGGCTCCTTTGGTTTAGTGTTGTGAAGAAAATTGTGTCTGTGTCTGAAGTCTTTCCGTGGAACTGTAAGGCATATTGACAGAGAGAGAGGGCAATGCTTTGTCAGAGATGGAAAGTGCTGACCACCAGACTCATAAACAAAGCCAGGGTAAACTCCACAACTGTAAATCAAGTTGGACACCGCAACATAGTTAATCTGAAATTTTCACCATCAGTCTTGTAGTGTTCAGAGAAACTCTCACCACATGTGAAGAGAAAATTGTGTATCAATAACACCCACTTTATTTTCACTGAAGAATTCTGTAATTCTTTGAGTTAATCTACTCTTTTCCAGTTAGAAAGAACGTCATATTCCTTTAATTTCTTTATCCCCTCACTCAGCATTGACTTTAATGGTCAGAGGATTATCAACTACTCAGTTCCAGCAAGTCCTAAGACAGATTCTTGATTCTTCTTTCTCCAAGTAAACAAGACAGGATAAAATACAGTGAATAGCAAAATTTGAGTTCAATTATACAAACAACATGGGCAACTGGAAAATTTTGGACTAAACTTACCTTCACAGTGAGACTTCAGCTTACTCAGTTCCTCTTGGTCTATCCAATATTTTTATATATTCAACAACCAAAAACTGGTTGTTCGAGATTTTGATCATCTGAAATATCTCTATATTACACAGTCTGATACTGCAAATGAGCACTCAGGCTTCCCAAAATTTCCTTTTCAGTTGGTTTTCCCTGATCCAAAGAGCACCTCTGTCTGTCTGACCAACTTCTAAACCAAATACAGGCTGTTGAAACCTGTGCCTACTTCTGGGCACATCACCTTCCTCTTTAAAGACATCCTAAAAAAAAAGGCCTAAGAACAAACTTGGCCTGGTTGTACAGCTCATCTCTTCCAGAATCCATTGCCAATTAACAGCAGGATAGTATACAACTCCTCCACGGTATTTAAAATAGTCTTAGCATAGAAAAACCAACCATCAAAACTCACAGTAAATAAAATCACGTATGGTCCAGTGTAGTTACACCCTTATCACAGATCTTGCATTCATAAATGAAAAAGTGTCTTATTCTTACTGTAAAAATCTAATAGTTTATGGCTGAGCTTCCCATCTTTATCCATTAGTGCTGATCCCCAGTGCAGTGTATCTCTGATCAGCTATTATACCCTTTGCATATATCTCACCAATGACATCTACTAAAAGGAGGCAGCAAAATTTGGGGCAAACAGACCCACAGTATGGTATAAATAAGCATTTCCAACCCACACTAGGAGAGCTTTTTCCTGCATTTAAGGCAGCTGCCAGCAATCTGTCAGAACCTCGTAAGCCTAACATTGAATTTATTAGCTGTTGCTGGTTCTTAGTGCCAAATCTGCTTAACAAAATCAGCTTCGTGATGGTAGATAATAACTAGGAAAAAACCACATTTTCTTATGACAGTTTGCATTTGCTATTGATAAGAAATGATAGGACAATAGCTGGTTACAGGATTTTTAGTGGGCTCTCACGGAGCAGATGTTGGGTCCCACAATTTCTAATTTTCATTACAGTTGTGAGCAGTAAAACAGCAAGTATTTCCAGAAGGAGTTGGAAGGAAACTGTCACAGTAGGGCTGGACCTGATATTTCAGTTCTGAATTGCTTCTGGGATCTTCTACTCAAAACTTAATGAAAGTTTTGTTCCTGCTGAGTATTTTGCTGCCTGAAGAGAAGGGTGACCCACTTAGTGAGGGTCATTCATGTCCCTCTTGTGGTGCCCAAAACACTGAGTCTGGGACACACCACCACACTCCTCCTCCCACTGCACCTCGTGGGTGCACCTTCCAGATCCTCTTTCCCATTCCTTCAACTCTGTGCCCAAGGAAGCTTCCAAGAGGCCGTGGAGGATACATTCGAAAGGAAAAAAAAAGGTCAAAAATTACAACTGGAAATCATGGCACCAGAAGGGAAAGCAAAAGGTTGCACTATATCCCATGAAATGAGCTGATAAATGCTGGATACACACATAGGTGTGTTCCTGCCCCTGCCCAGGGCTCTGTGGGGATTCAAACTCCCCCATCCTTCAGTAATACGTCACTGTCAGCTCTCAGCCACAGTGAGAGGAGGACAATGAGGAGTCCTGACCGGTCCAACTCCTTGTGTGAGTGAAGGCTGGGATATGTAAAAAGCAGAAATCAGATGGAAGCAGCACTTGTGCTGGAAGCATTTTGCTGGAGAAGAACAAGGGTTTGCAGGAAATATGGTACCCCTGAGAGTTTTTGGGATGGTGGTTATGGGGGCTGGGACTCAGGCACTTCCCAAACACCAGGAATGCTCACAGCATGCATGGAATTGAGGTATTCTGGCCTGAGGAGCCCTGTTCTGAAGTCGCTTTAGGAACTGGCTCAAAGGTCAATGTTGGCTTAAAATTTAGAGATGGCCACAGCAACACAGGGCAAACTCCTTCCAGGTATTGTAGATCCTGGTCTAAGTTACTCTAATGCTCTGCCTCCCTTACTTCAGCTGTGATATCTATGGAATAATTCCCACAATGAATGGCAAAGCAGCGGTAACTGCCTGGATTGCACTGCTTTGTCCTTATTGACAGGGAAATCCACATGCATAAAATTAACTAGACTTTTTAGACACCACAGGCAAGGCTAAACCTTGCAGAAGGTTTATCTCGTTGCTAGTGAGCATTTAACAGTCCAAAATGTTACAGGGGACTTTTCAAATCAGAGGCTGTCCTGGCAGAGGCAGGAGGTGCCTTCTGCGTGTCCTCTGCACAGCTCATGATGATGCATCCTGGAGAGACAGGGCAATAAAAATTCTGCACGTTCTGAAAAAGTAGCTGGCAAAGCCAAGGTAGCACATGGCAAACAGCAAGTAAACAAATCAAGTCTCACCTAAACACAGCACAGAAAAAGAGGAAGCCGAGCCAGTTCTGGACGTGCTGCTAAACCAGCACTTCAACAGCAGTTAATGAGAAGGGAAACTAGATGCCTGATTTTAATGGATACTGACATAATAGGTGTACCAGAAATTTGATGGGAGAAAGATAATTAGTAGGACATTAACGTCTTGGTGCTGATTACACTGAAAGACAAAGCAGATGTCGTGTACTAAAGCTGAATCAGAATAACAAGGTAATGTCATTAATGAGCAACACAATCTCTCTATGGATGGATTCCACGTTCAGATAAAAAATGCAGGATGATATTAGTGATCACCCATTGGGACAGTTTCACAGATAGCAGGGTGAAACTTGATAAGGTGTAAGGAGAGAAAACAAACCAGTAGTAGACTCTAAAACCCCAGTACAGACTGAGAAGTGCTGTGCTAGGTATGGTGCAGAGACTGAAATCTGGACAGACTTTGTGAGTGTGGAGAAATCAGTGGGAAACTTGTTAATCTTGACTTACTCCTGAGTGAGGAACTTGATTCAAAATGTTAGTAAAGATACCCTGTATGGGTGACTAACAGACATTCAGTCTCCTTCAGAAGGAATAAAAGGTTTTGGGTTTTTTGAAGTCATGAAGGGAACCCGAGAAAAGCGAGAGCAGATTAAAATACATTAAAATGTTCAGCTAAAAGGACAAATGAAGCTTGAAAACTTTAAAGCTACTGGATATACTG